TTTTCATGGATTATATCTTTGGTATTATATCTAAAAAAGCATCAGATACCCAAGGTTCTCTAGGTTTTCTCCTGTGTTATCTTCTAGGAGTTTTAGAGTTTTGCATTTTATGCTTAGATATGTGGTGCACTAGAGTTAATTTCTGTGAAGGATGTAAAGTCTGTGCCTAGATTCTCTCTCTTTTTTTTCCTCTTTGCCATGTGTATGTTGTTTCAGCACCATTTGCTAAAATGACTGATTTTGTTTCATTGTGTTGCCTTCACTCATCTGTCAAAGGTCAGTAGATAATATTTATGTGAGTCTATTTCTGAGCACTCTATTCTGTTCCACTGATCTATTTGTCTACTCTTTTACCAATATCACACTGTCTTAATTACTGTGGCTTTAAGTTAAGTCTTGAAGTCAGATAGTTTCAGTTCTCCAACTTTGTTCTTCTCCTTCAATATTGTGTTTGCTCTTCTGGGTCTTTTGCCTCTCCATATAAACTTCAAAATCAGCTTGTCAATATTCATAAAATAGCTTTCTGGGATTTTGATTGGGATGGCATATGAATCTATAGATCAATTTGGGAAGACTGACATCTTGACACTGAGTCTTCTATCCATAAACATGGGATATCTTTCCATTTATTTAGTTTTTCTTTGATTTTATTCATCATAATTTTGCAGTTTTCCTCATATAGATCTTATACATATCTTTATTAGATTTATGCCTAAATATTTAATTTTTTGGGATACTAATGTAAATGACATTGTGTTTTTAATTTCCAATTCCACTCACTCATTGTTGATATACAGGAGCTGATTTTTCTTTCTTTTCTTTTTTTTTTTTTTTCTTTTCTGAGAGAGAGAGGGAGCATATGTGTGTACATATGGGGCAGGAATGGCAGAGGGAGAGAGAAGAGAGAGAATCTTAATGCAGGGCTCAATCTCACAATCTTGAGATCATGACCTGAGCCAGAATCAAGAATCAGACACTTAACCAGCTGAGCCACCCAGATGCCCTGGAGTTGATTTCATTTAGATAGCAAGGAGAGATGGTTTTACTGAGAATGTGTAGGTTGAAGTGAGATTTGAAGGATAAGTAGAAGCTAACTAGTGGCCTTTTGGAGGAAGAGAACAGGACAGAGTAAGTAAATGCTAGAGAACAGGAGAATGAATAAATGCTAGAATCCAGAGAGTAAGGAAATTTACAGAGTGATGTGGCTAGAGAGACAAATGGAGGGAACTACAGGCCAGTGCTTAGTAAGTACTGTTTTTATATTATCAGACCTCTATTCTGAAAGGATTGGGAGGGCACTTGAATGAAGAATATACTGCAGATGAACTAAAATGAGGGCTATATGTCCCAGAATGGATTAGAAAGCTATTAAGAAGTAAATTTCATAAGTCTGGGTAATGTAATGGACATGGCAGAATGATGCTTGAAAGAGGACCTGAGTGTAGTGAGGTTCCTTGTCTTAGGCAACTAATTCTGCAAAAGGTCCTATCATTTACTAAGATATAAAATGTAAGAGGAAGTTCAGTCTAGGGCATTATGAGTTTGAAGACCCATTAAGAAACTGGTAAAGTAAATACCTGAATTTATAATTCCGGAGGTCAGAGAAGCTATCTGGACTATACATGTTTGTCATTGATATATAAATGGTAACTGAGGTCCTGGGACTGGACAAAAGTAAGAACATGGACTAAAAAGACAGAATGGTCTTAAGGACTCCACGATTTAATAGCAGAAAGGAGGGAAAGGAGCTTTTTTTCATTTACACCCTTTAGCCATTGAATTGTCCCTCCAGCCTTTCAAATACTGATCCTTCTCCTGTGCTATGATTTCCATTCCTTCCATCTCATTTAGGTCCTTTTCTTTATCAATTGTCTAGAACTATTTTCCAGTGCCTTATTTTTCTCTTTAACAACAAAACTCACCCCTTAAATGTTTGTCATCTCCTCTATCCCCCTTCATAGTAAAGCGTTCTAAAATGTAAAATGGTCTACTTTTATGGAATATTCAACTTCATTTGCCATTCAATTCTAAATACATTATTTTACTTTTCAGTTTACTACTCCCTCAAATCTTCCTTTAACAAAGCCTGTAAAACATTAATACTAAATCAAATAAACATTTCCAATTCTTATTTTACTTTCTTTTTCTCTGCCCTGGTTTTAAATGTCATGCTCCCCAAAGTTTATTCTTGGTCTTTTTTTCTTCTCAAAGTATACATTTCCTTGGTGAGTTTATTCATCCCTTGGGGTAAACTCCCACCATGTGCTAATTAATTTCAAATTTACGTGTTTCCTCTAGAGATCCCTTTCTCACATGGCCCAGTGTGTATTGGGTATCTCTACTTGGATGCTTCCAGGGTATCTCCATTTAAACATATTCAAAACAGATTTTAAAAAACGCATTTTATGATCACCCATCCCCTAAAACAACCAACACCATAATGACAAAATTCCGCTATTTTCCTTTATTCTTTAACCTCTGCCGTCCACAAACCTGCTCAGAAATCTGTCATCTTTGATTCCTTGTGTCAACTCTCCTTGGTCACATCAATTCTACTCCTCATAGTAATCTCTTAATTCATTCCATGCTTTTTATCTCAACCACAGTCAGCTAATCCATTTTCTTCTAGCATACTCTTAGCCAAAACATAACAATCAAATATGATCATTATGTTGTTGCTTTACTTAAAAATCTTCAATAATTTCCGTTTCCTATTATTTTTACAAAAAAACAAGAGCCACAACCTTAAAAAAAAAATCAATTAGATCTTTGTCTAACTTCTCCAGTCTCATCTTAGCACTCTGTATAAATCATGAGAAGCCTGCACAGAAGTAGTGAGAGCAGATTTGAAGAAATAGTCTTCCCATCCTCTGCAATGGCTTTCATTGTCTATTACGCCCTCATCTTTTATACTTCCTTCATCACACAGGTTAAACTTCCTCCTCAGGAGAAACTTCCCAAGGCTCCTCTCCGATCTCTCAGTCCAAGTTAGGTATACAGCATTTGTCCTCCATAGCACATATAATATACCTTATTATCCTGTTTACTGCCCTGCTTCCCCCAACTATGAACTCAAAGAAAAAAGAGACTATTCTTTCTCCTATAACCTGAATGCTTAGCATATTCCCTGGGATTTAGTATGTGCTCGATAAATAACTGTTAATTATTAAGTTGTTTTTAATCATTATTAGCACCATACCTAAACATACCCTTTCCACAAATACCTCATTTATTCCAATGTTTTATATTCAACTCTACGTACTGGTAAATTCCAGTATTTGGCATTATTTGCTTTGATAGCAAAAGTTTTGTCTTTGTAAAAAAAAAAATTAAGACAGATTAAATAAATTTATTCTATAATATTACATATATTATATATTGAAGATATAACTTCAAGAATGCCTTGCTGTGCATATATGGCATGATTTCCGAATTATGAAGTTGAACAAATTCTTCAGTTCTAATAATAACATAAACAAAGCACCATATCACCACTTTTAGAAAACTAAAGGATAAAGTAAATGGAAAGGAAACAAGGGAATATGTAGTAAAGAAGCCTATAAAAGTTCATTATTATTCCAAATTTTTCTGAGCAGCAAAAATATCCAATAAGTCTACATCTGAAATTAGACTGCTTTGTCCCTTTTTGTTTTGCCCTTCTTAGCACTTATTTACTACAGAAAAAAAATTGGCAATACTGTCCAATGTGTTCACTTAAAGCATTATGCTGTTTTCTATGTGTTAATCTCCCCCAAATGTGAACATTTTTAATTCTATGGATCTAAAGTGACACATTAGGTCTAAGCAGACAGTAAGCACTCAACAGCTATTTACTGAATCATTTAGATTACAAATTTACACTGAGGAAAGGTTCTAAATGAAAGCATCTAAATCTTGATCAAGCTTTCCAGTTGATATACTGTTAAACAGTAAGGTGGTTTGTTTTATTTTCTTAAGATTGTACTTTAAATACAAAAACAAAACCACCAGCCACTATTTCACAAGACTAATTGCAGTTTATCAAACAGAAGCCGCCAAAAAGTTTTAATAAGTCACTGAGATTTAAAACAATTGGAAAGAATTTCAAAGAAATTTGGATAGATATATTTTTAATACATCATAGATCACTGTCAAAACCAATAATTCAGTAGCACAGGCACAATTTGGGAGTCTTTTTTAGTTTAGACATTTGTCAATCATGAATACCTTTAAAAATCACTTACTCCTCCACCCAGCTCACTTTTGAGAAAAGTTTTAAATCCAAAGACACAGCTCTAATTGACATGTTTTTTCCACACATAAAATTCCTATTCTAATAAAAAAAGCTCTCAATTCAGAGTTCAAAAATCACTAGGAAAATAAAGTACAGACACATCTAATACCAGTTTTTTTGGGAAAGAGACCTAAAGTATTTTCTGTTATTTGCAGCTGCCTTAACAGCAAATGACAATTAAATGTGTGAACAAGGTTGTCAGAGTAACACTTGTCATTCACACTACTTATAGAAACGCGCCCCAAGACTTCCAGAAGCACTAATTAAAATTAACGAAAGCTTCTCAAGGGGACTTGTCAGAGAAGTACATTTTGTCATTTGCTGTTTGAGACAGGAAAACCAAATCTCCTCAAAGCTCAAGAGTTTTCCAGCTAAAGTCTAAATCCAACCCACCTGCCTGCCACTGGCACTGTCGAACTGAGCCCAGATGCTCAGCAAGCAACTCATTAAGAGTTCCAATTTCTTCAATAAAACACAACCAGTCGGAGAAAAACAAAACAAAACAAAACAAAAAAACCTGATGGTAAAGGCGGAATGAATTTTCTCTCAGAAGTCAGAAAAGGGGCGAGGGAAAATATCTTTCCTCTTTTCTAAGGACCAGAGGAAGGTGCAAATTCTTACTGGCAGTTACTTGATATATCGCTCCACTAGCTTTTTTTTTTTTTTCTTTCATTCTGCGTGAATGAAGACACTCAAAACGAGAAAAATGTTGAATGATATTACCCACCTCTAGCCCCAAAGAACCAAGGAACACTCTCACCCAGGACTCAGGTGGGCCTTTCTCACCTGGGCCCAGCAGATGTCCGGCGTCTCCACGTAGAGCGCACTTTTCAGCAATACTCCTTGCGATTGGTTGACTGGGAAGAGAGCTCTCAATTCTATTGGCCACGGGAGCGGAGATAGTGGGCAAGGAGGCGGGTGTTTGGGGCTGGCTCTGACGGGTTTGCGGCTTGAGTTCCCAGAGTTCCTATTGGGTCAACGCGGGAAGTTCCAACATGGCGGCCGCGGCGACCTGCGGCACCGGCGCTGGGAGTATTGGATCTATAGGGGCTGCAGCCTGCAAGAACAACGTCACCAGTTTCCAGAGGAAGGGTCCTAGAGCAAGCGGTACAGACAGCGGCTGTTCTCGACTGGTGTCCATCGCGGGCACACGACCGTCGGTGCGGAATGGACAGCTGCTGGTATCTACCGGGCTCCCAGCCCTGGACCAGCTCCTAGGTCGGTTCAGAACGGAGATTTGGGCTCAACAGAGGGAATACTTAGGGAGGGCACCTTCCAGGGAAGCCGCCCTAACCTCATATTTATCTCTCACCCCTCAGCCTTCGGACTTGGAAAGGATAGTCCGGTCTGATAGAGATGTAGGGGAGGAAATGTTGTAGGGAGACTCCTAAATGCTGTTACTGCTCCCACTTTGTACTGTGGTTCTGGCCCACCAACCTTTCTGGGTTACGACGGGATCCCTCCATGGTTTTATCTAGAAATACTATCTAGTAAGGGGGAATCATTAATATTTGGAGACGGTTTGGCCTTCAACTCCAGGATCCTCTCCTGGTCTCTGCACCGTTCTGCCAACCCCAGATAGCTCGTGGTTTCGCCTAACCTACAAAGTTTGTATCATTGTGAGAGATGGATTTCATTTAGAAAATGCTGAAAAAAGTAACTTCCCCACTTTCACCGCCAGGCTGCTTATCTCCTGGTTCTGAATCTTTAAACTGTTGGCTTTAAGAGAATGGATGTTAAAACACTTACGTGGGTACAAAGTAGTTAAAGCCTGTTGTTGATATCGGTGGTCGTACTAGTAGACTGCGTTAAATATATTTGTATATATTTTTGTTAAATTTTTTCCTCTGTATATTTTGCTTCCCAGAGTTAACATTGCGAATGATATGTTTAAAGTTAATTCACATTTTAATGAGAAAAAGAAATCCAATCCTGAGGCTTTCTTGTTTAATCTTTGTAATTTTTCATGAGAAGCCTGCTGAAGAACAGCTTGTTTCATAACTGTTACGTTGCGAAGATTGGCCACATTAGATTGCTAAGACAGAGCTGCTGTGTTAATAGAGCTTGTAAATTAGTTGTCTTATCAGAATGTTGCTTCATTAAAATTGGTCTATGTTTATATTTCATAACTATATAGTATGTGATCTGTGTCAGTTAAGTCTTGTACATTTTCATAAAATATTACAAATGCCATTGCTTGTTCTTGTACTACACTTGAAATTTCTCTCTGTATTACATTTTCCCCCTCAAGGTACACTCTTCAGATAGGTTTAGTGCAAAGGAAATTGACAAGGCAAGCAACCTTTGAGAAAGAACACAGCTTCTTGCCTGTTATGTCATGTTCTTAACTGAATCCTGGTTATTTCTACACAAATTTGAGTATTTGTACTTAATTGTCTCAAGTATTGCCTTCCTAAATTGCATGGTGCTGAAAACAAATGATCCAAAATATATAGTTAGCAAATATTTATCTCAGTTTTGTTTTGTTTTTTTTTCCCCCCTGTTGAACTTTGCTTGGTATCATCCTATACTTGAATTTAAAGTCTGGAAGCTGTTCCTAGTCCTTACCTTTTTTCCCCCTCCCTAATTCACTGGAGTTATGGAACTATATTCACTTGATCCTGAATCTTCAAACAAAAAGGTCAAATTTCTGACATTATACCTTCAGTTTCTTATTAGAATAACAAAATTTGCCTGGCACAGTTCCTGGCACATAGTTGATTCTCATTACGTTCTTCATTGAAAGAGAACTGTATAGAAAAAAAAAAAAAAACAACCTGGACAAGAGATTATGAAAGAGGTAGGATGAGTTATGTGTGAGCTCTAGAAGCAGATACAGTGACATGAACAGAGTCATTAAAACTAGAGACAGTGTAGGCTGATCTTCAGGCTTCAAATTTAGTGTTACTGCACTGTGCTACAGCTGTTTCAAATTTTTGAGAACTCTTTTGAAGTGGCTTTAAGCATTTATCAGACCCAAGACTAATGATTTAAGTATGTCTCTTAAAGCACCCACTAAAAAGTTAACCTAAAGCACTATATATAAATATTTCATTTATATTTAAGTGTTTCTACAGTGATATAAACTTGAACTGTAATTTAAAAATCTTCCAGATTTGCTTGCGAGGGACACTAGTATTTGATTGTAAAAAGCTTATGCTAAAAATTGGTGTTCGTTTAAGATAATTGAAATAGGCATTAGTTTGGGGATATTTTGAAATATGTTTTGCATGTGTACAGTTAATTCTCAAAGTGCACAGAAGAGGTTGTTATAATAGGAGTTAGTACATTTGGAATAATAAATATGTCCAGAAGTATTTTAGTTGTTGTTAACTTCTTAATGACATTTTTGTATTTTTATTTTTTATTTTGTATGGCTCTGTAGAGCAAATCCGTTACATTCGTTTTTCATTAAAACATTATTTGGAAGTGAAATGTTTGGCTGCTAATGTGTATACACATAAATATAAGTAATTCAGATTATATTGTTGCTCTAAAATATTTGACTCAGATTATGACAAGCCTAATATAACCATATTGTGACAAGACACAATGATAGCAGGATGTTTTATCAGAATGGTGGAACTATACTATGACATCACGACTGTTGCTTAAATATATTCTGTGGTTACTGTGAAACAAGTAAATATTGTATTGTCACTACCATGCAGTGCAATGATATTCCTACTACCACTGTGATGTCAATGTAATTTTAAGCATAGATTCAAAATATATTTAAGTATATTTTTGAATATATTATACAGGCAAATTGAATGTTGATCATTTGAAGATACGCTAATATTTCCATTCCTACTCCCAAATGCTTTATGAATTTGACAATTCCCCATATCAGCATCTTTTTTAAACATGATCTAATCATATCAAAAACTTTTGTTCTCACAACTTAAATTTTGTTAGATATTGATATACATTTCCCAAGTTGGCCACATTGAAATTTTCAACTTCCAAGATTTTTCTAACCCAGGTTCTCTACCCTGTCCTTCCAGGACATTTATGTCATTATATGAGGACACTATATGTATATAAATATTTCATTTCCCTTCTTCCAGTAATCACCAAGAAGTTTACAGTGGATAAAGGATTCTGGCAGAATTTCTTTCCTTTTTTTTTTTTTTTTTTTTTTTTTTTTCCCCCCTAGGGCAAAAGGTATATCTCATCTTAGGATCATATTGTCTAACTTGGGGGAATTCTCTCCCAGGCTCATCCTTCAAAAAGGTACTTTAAGGAGGGGTGATATCTCAGGTTTGACTGGTTTAATTAATGTGCTGTTTGGAACTTACTCAATTTTGAAAATCAGGTGAACGGAAGATAGGGATTTGGGATAAAGAACAGTCCAGGAAGAATACTCTAAAGAAGCTTGACGATAGCTACCATTATCAATGCTAATATTAAAAAGTAAATACTAGTGGGCTTATTTCCTTTGCTCCACTGTATCTTAATTAGAATGTGTGATATATGTTGAGTTTGGACTATATATTAAAAATAATCCTTATTTTTATGGTTATGATAGTTTAGTAATGGCTGTACATTTAAGGAAAATGTAGCTTATTCATTTGTATTGATACATAAACTTGTTTCATGTAATTTAATCTATAGAATCATTCTGTTTATAGCTTTTTTTGTTTTGTTTCCTATATTTTCCCAGCTAATCGTTGTGATAATCAAGAGTTGTCAGGATGTTTCCTACCTCCCAGAGAGAGAAGAAAAAGTAGACTTGTTAATGAAATGAACTGCAGTTTAATTTGAGGCATGGCATTAATTAAATAGTTCAGGACATTGCTGTGAACAAAGGAAGGGATAGGAACTGTTTGTACTTTGCATTTTCCCTAAAATGACCTATAATTTTATACAAAACTATTCCTTTATAGAAAGGACTGCTATAAATCACTGTTGTCTTTTCTGACTTTTATTTCCTTTCCCTTTTACTTCCGCTAACTTTGAAAAAGGAGAGGCCCTTATAAAGTAAGGTATCACTTTTGGGTCGTTATATCCTAATACATTAATTTGACCTTGCTTACCCAAAATTTATAGTTTAACTAGAGATCTGCTTTGGGAAGTGTAAATGGTGATTGAATTTTCTCCCTTTAATATAATTTTCTGGGGCTCCTGGCTGGCTCAATTGGTAGAGTATATGACTCTTGATCTCAGGGTACTAATGGAGTTCTGAATTTAAAGATCCATTAAAATAAGCTTTGGTTGAATGTATCATGTCAAGATCCCCTGTCATGGCTGGTTGCTGAAGCTTTTTATTTTTTGATGAGTACATGGATACAAACTTATTCAAACTTACTCTAGTTTAAAATACAGTTAGAACCAGTATATCAAGTGAGATATATCAAAATACTTTATGCAGAAGTGTTTTAGGGAAATGTGAGGTCTCATCACCCTGAAATTTCGAAGAACAGAGGAACTTTGCTGTTACATATATGTATGTGTCAAATCATTTTCCCTCATACACAGAATAAAAGCTTGATTTTTAAAATAATAAGGCGGCTTCATCTTATTCACCATGACCAATGTCCAAAATGACCAACCTATACTAAAGCCATCCAAATTTAAGTCTAGTGAATTTTCATGATAGAGCCCTTTAGAAAAAAAGATAATTGCCTTTTGTAAGACAAATCCTGATATTATATTCAAATGTCTGATTAAAGTCATTAACATGTCCTCATTTTATGTTGTTTTGAGTAATGTTCACATTTTCCAAACATTAGGAATTGAATTGTACATAAGATTTAAAATTTAATTGGGTGGCATTTCCTGAATTATCAGAAACTGGTTTATTTGAATCATTCTTACAGAAAATTACCTTCTTAGTGTACCTCATTTGTATAATGCTTTGCTTAACTAGTTCATCAATAGGAAGTCTTCTAATTCTTACTATTATAATGATCACTATTTATCAAATAATGGTATATCTATAATGATTTATTCTAATTAGAAAATAATTGCCAGAATGGTAATAGCTCTTACTGAGTACCTTTCTGAGCCAGACACTTGAGCTAGGTATCATTTCATTTAATTGGGAAACTATTCCTGGATCTATTCTTATCATCCCACTATGAATGACATTCACAGAAAGTCTTCAGTTCTGTATCTAACTGTTCCAGTTGTAGGCCTCATATAAATTCTTAATTTCAGGCTACATGAATGTAGACCCAGGGATGTTTAGACAAGAAATCTAAATCTTTCCTATAAGAAATAGATTAAGGAACAGAAACCAGGTAACTTTTTTTAATAGTACCTGCTCTAGGCTAGACCATGCAGTATCTGTTATGTACCTCTATTAGTTTGTCTTAAATATACACAGAATGGTGCGTAGGCATTTAAATGCTTGTTTTGCATGTAAGAGAGAAATAAGGAACTGGAAATTTAAAATGCTCAAAGTGCATTAATCAAAAAAATTCAGCGCTCAAAATGGATTAAAAAATTTAGTAGTGGTTTATATGTAGCACAAACTATAAAAGTAGACATTTAGCCTAATCTTAAAGAAAATCTTTTTGCTCAGATCTTTTATGGTTATTTTCATCCTATATATTCCATTTTATGTGATTCTTTTAGTTCGAACAAAATTTGAAGTTATCCTGTATAGTCTGGTATGGCTTTAAATGCTACATTGAAAGAACCTATCTAAATGTGAAATTAAAATACATATTTACTGCGATAACAAATCCACCTAAACATTAAAATATATTTTTAAAATCTTCTCTAACAGTTTGAAATGTTCTATTTAGAGTCATAAAGTCACCAAATATAGCATTGTGTTCTATGTTCATGTATATTACCAAATTTCAGACTCTTTGAACAATAACATTTATGCATATTTGCAAGGCAAAAAGTAAACACTGTCAAAGGAACTTTACATACTAAGTTGTTCTATATAATGTTTGCCACTACAAAATTTGTTGGAGGAAAAGTTTTTTATTGGTACTCTAATTATTTCTTTCACAGTTTTATGCACCAAAACCAAAGACATTGGTAGGATTGTCTTCAATTGTCCAACAATTTTGAGTAGTTTCTTTTTAAATTACTTTAGATACATTTCATCCTTCGATATTCATATTTCATTCTATTTTAAGTGAATTTGCTAGTATAATTTATAACAAATAGGAATACTTTTACAAACGGTTTTACAAATGTTACGCAAAATATTTGTACTCAAATGTCTTTTCATTGTAGTTCTAGTTATCTGTAATTTGACTTCAAATTGATTTTTATTAAATCACTATTTGAGTTATATGCTAATGACAGTACTGCTCTAATTCAGATATTCAAAAGAACATTTTCTGCTATTATTAAAAATGTATTCTGGGGGCGCCTGGGTGGTTCAGTGGGTTAAAGCCTCTGCCTTCAGCTCAGGTCATAATCCCAGAGTCCTGGGATCAAGCCCCACATCAAGTTCTCTGCTCAACAGGGAGCCTGCTTCCCACTGTCTCTCTGCCTGCCTCTCTGCCTACTTGTGATCTCTGTTTGTCAAATAAATAAATAAATAAATAAAATATTTTGAAAAAATGTATTTTGTAATTGTGACTTTTTTGTTTGAAATTATGAAAATATTGTTTATTTTAAATTCTAAATGTATTTGGGAGTATGTGCAACTTCGTGTGTATTTTCCTATTGAAAAAAGGAATTACTTTTAATTATCGGGGTGTTTTTCCCCAAGGCTTATTAAATTTGAGTGTAAATACTAAAGTGGAATTTCTATTATAATAACCTTTCTTATGTTGTACTTCTGTAGTATTAAGTTACTGTGAACATTAGGTCTTGGCTATTGAGTTAATTTATTAACAGGTACTAAATGTAACATTATTGGGACACGTAACCACAGTTATGTTGAATGCTGCATGGTCCTATCACAGGAGAAGAGTGGATAGTACAGTATATTATGAAAGTAATTGTAATGTGTAGTGTGTAATTACATATAATATATAATTATTTCATAATAGCACCTTAAGCAAAGTATCTCCAAGGTAATTAAAATGTTGTTCTCATCTGCAATTTTAAAGTTAGTGAAGTAGTTGTCCTTGATAAAGCTTAACTTTTATGCTAAAGATAATGTGTATGAAAGGGTAGATTAATTTTTTCTTGGTTTTATTTTGTTTCCAGGTGGAGGTTTGGCTGTTGGAACAGTTCTTCTAATTGGTTAGTATAGCATATACACTTTGTTCTTCCTGATTAGAGTTTTCTGTTGTGCGTAATGATTTTATGGGTTTGCCAATTCTGATATTAAATATATAACTTTCTATAAGAGTTAAGCTAAATTAGAAAAGAAATGCCGTAAGTTTTAATTTAAATTCAAATGTTGATCCAAACTTGGAATAAATGAAGCAAGTATATCTGCAAATACAGCTCTGGTAATTTAAAAATGTTCACAGTCCATTGTCCTCCGTATCTTTTTAAAAAGGTTAAAATTAATGCCAATTGTGTTTTTTTGGGGGGGGTGGGGGACATCTCTGTATGCAAGTGAGATTATTATAATGATTAATTTGAGAAGTTGTACCAATAAGTCCATTGTATATATGTCATGCATTTTTATTACTATTTTCTTCTTATTGAAAGAAAAGTAACAGACTGATAAAGCATATTCTTGTTCACCTTTAAGTGCCAATAGTTCTTATTTAATTATACATACATAATCCTATTTGCCTTATTGTTTAGTTCAGATTATAGAATCTGGAATTGAAATAAACCTTGGCAGTTATGTATTCACAGTTCCCAACTAGCCATAAATCACTTTTCGATCATTGTTGACAGTATCAAACAATTTGGATACAGATTATATAATTTAAAGGGCTCACCACTTCACAAAACTATGAATTATTATTGAAATTATTAGAAAATTCTTTTTTTAAATATGTATTTGAGAGAGAGAGCAAGCACAAGTGGGGGGAGCTGCAGAGGGAGAGGGAGAACAGACTCCCCACTGAGCCGGGAGCCCAATGTGGGGCTCAATTCCAGCACCCCGGGATCACAGCCTGAGCCAAAGGCAGACACTTAACCAATTGAGCTAGCCAGGCGCCCCAGGAAGTTCTCTATATTAGTGTTTAATCTATATAATTTAACAGATTTGTTGTTTCTAATTTTGTTCTCTGATTTAACTTGCATATTTTTTCACATGACACTTTTAAAATGTTTGAAAATATTTTATTACCTCAAATCTTCTTTAAATGAAATAGACACAGCTCCTTAAACTCTTTTTATTTTATTTTTTATTTTTTTTTAAAGATTTTATTTATTTATTTGACAGACAGAGATCACAAGTAGGCAGAGAGGCAGGCAGAGAGAGAGGAGGAAGCAGGCCCCCTGCTGAGCAGAGAGCCCGATGTGGGGCTCGATCCCAGGACCCCGGGATCATGACCCGAGCCGAAGGCAGCGGCTTTAACCCACTGAGCCACCCAGGCGCCCTCCTTAAACTCTTTTTAATGTGTTGTGGCTTCCATGTTCCTTACTCTCCTGGTTGTTCTTTCGTCATACCTATCAAACTGATGTTGCCTCTTCAGCTGTGCTCACAACTGAATACAGTATTCCAAATTTACTATGCTTATACTTAGACTACAAATTGTGATAATCTAGATAGAATTATTATTTCTAGGCACCAATAAAGTTACTCTATATTCATTGACTTCTTTTAAGGTAGCAATGAAATGTGTTACTCTGCCCCAGGAATGCAAAATGGTGGTGTGTTAAATTTAGTGTGTACATCAGCATTTGTCTGATAAGTAAAGCTCTATCTGGAAAACTCAAAAGAGATGTGTAGTACATCTTATTCCCCATCTCTGCTGTATAATTAAAGAGTAATAATAATAGTGAGAGCTGCCCTTTTCTTACTATGGATCAGTATTGTGCTGTTTTTATTTATTTTTATTTTTTATAGATTTTATTTATTATTTATTTGAGAGAGAGAGCACAAACAAGCAGAGGGAGAGGGAGAAACAGGCTTCCCCCTGGGCAGGGAGCATATCACAGGGCTCTATCCAAGGACCCTGAGATCATGACCTGAGCCAAAGGCAAATGCTTAACCAACTGAGCCACCAAGATGCCCTATGCTAAGTGTTTTTTTTTTTTTTTAATTTTATTTTTTATAAACATATAATATATTTTTTCCCCAGGGGTACAGGTCTGTGAATCGCCAGGTTTACACACTTCACAGCACTCACCATAGCAAATATCCTCCCCAGTGTCCATAACCCCACCCCCTCTCCCAACCCCCCTCCCCCCAGCAACCCTCAGTTTGTTTTGTGAGATTAAGAGTCACTTATGGTTTATCTCCCTCCCAATCCCATCTTGCTTCATTTACTCTTCTCCTACCCCCTTAACCCCCATGTTGCATCTCCTCTCCCTCATATCAGGGAGATCATATGATAGTTGTCTTTCTCCAATTGACTTATTTCGCTAAGCATGATACCCTCTAGTTCCATCCACGTCGTCGCAAATGGCAAGATTTCATTTCTTTTGATGGCTGCATAGTATTCCATTGTGTATATATACCACATCTTCTTTATCCATTCGTCTGTTGATGGACATCTAGGTTCTTTCCATAGTTTGGCTATTGTAGACATTGCTGCTATAAACATTCGGGTGCACGTGCCCCTTCGGATCACTACGTTTGTATCTTTAGGGTAAATACCCAGCAGTGCAATTGCTGGGTCATAGGGTAGTTCTATTTTCAACATTTTGAGGAACCTCCATGCTGTTTTCCAGAGTGGTTGCACCAGCTTGCATTCCCACCAACAGTGTAGGAGGGTTCCCCTTTCTCCGCATCCTCGCCAGCATCTGTCATTTCCTGACTTGTTAATTTTAGCCATTCTGACTGGTGTGAGGTGGTATCTCATTGTGGTTTTGATTTGTATTTCCCTGATGCCGAGTGATATGGAGCACTTTTTCATGTGTCTGTTGGCCATCTGGATGTCTTCTTTGCAGAAATGTCTGTTCATGTCTTCTGCCCATTTCTTGATTGGATTATTTGTTCTTTGGGTGTTGAGTTTGCTAAGTTCGCTAAGTGTTTTATACATGGTTTTTCCCTTAACATATCAACCTTGTAAGATGTTACATGTAATCTGTATTAACCCCATCTTATACTTAAAGAAATAAGGCTCAGAGGGTGAAGTAATTTTCTCATTATCACACAGCAAGTGAAAGAACTAGGATTTGAATTCTGCTATGACTGAAAGGCTGTGTTTTTTTTATAACTGCTTTGTAGCTTTCTTACATGCTTCATTTAATAGCCATAAACAGTAAAATAGGAGTTTTATACCTTGTTAATTTTTTAAAAAGATTTTACTTATTTATTTGAGAGAGAGAGCATGAGATGAGAGAAGGTAAGAGGAAAAAGCAGACTCCCCAAGGAGCAGGGAGCCTGATGCAGGACTCAATCCCAGGACACTGGGATCATGATCTGAGCTGAAGGCAGTCACTTAACCAACTGAGCTACCCAGGCACCCCGTTTTATACCTATTTAGAATAAAGTTTTAAGTAGTAAATTAAGCCTACGTTGTGGGGGTTTTTTCTTTTAATAAATTTCCAAATTTCTAAACTTGAAAGAGCCCTCATTTAATTAATTCACAATAAGGATAAAAGTTGTAGCAATGCCAAAAAATTCTTTTTTTTTAAGAGTACAAACTGGTGGTTGCCAGAGGAGAGGACAGTGGCAGGGGGCCGATGGGGTTGAAATGGATGAAGGGGAGTGGGAGGTACAGGCTTCCAGTTATGGAATGCATTCATCACAGGGATGAAAGGTAGAGCAGAGGGATTGTAGTCAATGATATTATGGTAGGGTTATGTGATGACAGACTGTAGCTACACATGTGGTAAACGTAGCATAAAGGTGTAGAAGTATTGAATCAATATGTTATACACCTGAAACTAATGTAACATTGTGTGTCAGCTGTACTTCAACAAAAAAATAAATAATAAAAATAGACTTTTTAAAAAAGAAAAATCTTTTTATTTTACATAATCAGCATTTCTTCATTCTAGGCAGAAAGTTTTGTCTCTATAATAGTAAAAGAATATACAAAGCCTATTAATTAAGATTTTTCAGGTGTGCAATATTTGTTAAAGATAGATTTGTGTAGTTGTAGCTTATTGCTGCCTAAAATATATTGATTTTTACAAATGATGCCATTGAGTCATGTTGGTTCTGTGTTCAGTCATCATATTTTAACCCAGCCATTAATTTCCATGCAGCTCTTGGTTGCAAAATACTTGCCAAGTTTTTACCAGACATTTACTTCAATCACTACAATGTAATTTTCTGGACACTTACCTAGGGCTTAGTGCCCAAGTATCTGAATAATAGACATTTAATAAAAATATGTTCTATAAAATATTTGTGCCCTCATCAGTCTTTAAAGTACTATTTAAGAACCTGAGGTACAGAATTATTCTTTTTTTTTTTTTTTGACAGAGAGCAAGATCACAAGTAGGTAGAGAGGCAGACAGAGAGAGAGGGAGAAGCAGGCTCTCCGCTGAGCCTGATGCAGGGCTCGATCCCAGGACCCTGAGACCATGACCTGAGCCAAAGGCAATGGTTTAACCCACTGTGCCACCCAGGCACCCCCAGAATTATACTTAACAGTGGACGTAAGAGGGAGAAATACCCTGTAATTGAGAAGTTCTAGAAATGGTGATGTCGGTCTCATTTTTAAAAACTTATCTTTTAATAAATAAGGAATGAATGATTTTATGGACAAAATATTTCAGTTTTTAATGTCAATAAATACATAAAATAGAAAAGGATACATACAGAATATTAGGTTGTCCTTTCAGTTGCTCCATCCCCGTACCCAGAGACAATAATGTTCTGGTATTCTCCCCAAATATTTCTACTGAAATAAGAAACATGGGGGCACTCTGCTTTTTACACTTAATACGTCTTAGAGATCAGTCCATGTGCAATCATATGTTTATTCTAACAACTCTATAAGATTCCATTATATGGATGTGCCATAATTTATTTAAATAATTCTCAATTGAGAAATTTAAGTTCCATTCTTCCATTGCTAACAATGCTGTTGTACATAATTTTGTATATAAGCTTTGCAAACGTGTAAATATCTGTAGAATAAATTCCAAGCTACAGACTTGCTTAGTTGAGGCATGTTAAATTGTATTAGATATTATTAGATTGTTCTCCCAAGAGG